CACTAGATTAATCGCATATATTTTTCAGGGTGGACATACACTTTTGACACTCTTCATTACTCTAGTAACAATGATAAGTCTCATCTCATATTTATAGATTTTAGTGTTCATTGAATTGTTAATATATGTCAACATTTTAGCTATTAATCTTATAAATATCGAGAATCTTTTATAGATAATTCTAGATATAATATCAAATATCTAGATTATTTTACAAATATTTTTAGATATATATTATTTTAGAATATTCTCAAGATATATCTCGTAAATTTAATTTATATAGTGACTTTCCAACATTGGCATCTTTTAATGATTAAAAGAGTAAATCTTTTATTTTAAAATAAATAAATAAATAATTTAGTTAATTTGTACAAATTACTTTTTATTTGATACTATTAATCTTCTCCATCGTTGCCTGCAATCCGCATGCTGATAAAGCTTATGTTTTTGTATTCGTAAGATATCCGATATGACTTGGCAACATATCTTGGTGCAGTCCATCTATCTTAGCTTGAGGTTTTTCTCCTGTTTTCCTAGTCATATGAGGCAATAATGTTGACCATATAATGTATTCAAAATTGGTTGGAGATGTCTCGTACAAAACAAGTTGCCTATAACAGGAAGTTATGCTATGAGGCGCCTAAAATAAGGTTAATAAATGGCGTGACTGGTAAAAAAGTAATAGGTTAAAAGCGGAGCACAAAATGTTATAAATTAGAACCAAAAAATTTATCAGCTAGAGTAACATAACATGTTGCACTAAAATGTTATACAATGTAAGAAAATGAGTTATAATCGGTAAATGTTATGCATACTATTAACATTTTAGGTTTCACCTAAAAAGTTACCAGGTTTAAGCTGATGGAGCCTTGGATGTTCCCACGATAAAAAAATAAGTTAAAAGCTGAAAATATTATGACTATATATAAGAAATATGGTTTCATTAAGAATGTAATTATTCACGAAGAAATAAGTTGTGATATGTAATATAAATATTTTTATTAATTGTTCAATTTTTTTTTAGATTTTAATCCTTCGATTGATTCAAATATATTATTTTATTTTTTAAATGTATTTATTAATTAATGTTATGAAATATAAATTTGATTTAGTGATTTGAATATATGTTGATTTAGTATATATTATTTTGATATTACGTTTGATATTTATAAATTTATGTTTTGATAAAGAAGAGGCATCGGATGAAAGATTGTTGCTCTCGTTGAGGAATCTAATCTAAAAAGCTCTAGACTCGATGAAGAAAGTGGAAGGATTTGAATGGAAGAAGAAGAAGATGATGGAGTTGTGGAAGATGAAAATAGATGTATATTTTTCCTATAGAACCCTCCTAGTCGGAATGAAAAGATAAACTCGATAAGAAGCTTCGAAGGCACAAGTAATCAACACTTGCAAGATAAACTCTCAATGTATTGTATTAAAAAAATGTGTTTTCAAAGTACTAATGAATAAAATAATAATAAACTAAACATATTCTAATTCTAATTCCTAATAATAATAATAAAAAACTATGAATAATGTTTTAACTTTATCTTAATTCCTAACAAAATAATAAATCTAACACTAAAAGATAATGCATCATCCTATATTAAATTATATTACAAATAAATAATAAAAATATTGAAAATTCGTAATAATTACAAAATCTCATATTAATCCCGTATAGGAATTTCTACATGCATTGTCTTTACTAAGATGAGTATATCTTGAATTCCCGATATCGAATTGATGCAATTAAATAACCGTTGGAAAGCTAAGAGATAGTCGGTCGTAAATTCAGAAGACATGTCGACCAAATAACATTAGGATCCTATTTAAAATCAGTTGCAAGTCTATTGCTATGCTTTTTTTTCCAAGGCTTGGTGGTGTAGATCAATTGGAAGCGTTAGTCTATCTTCCTTTGATGTGAGTCTTATGATGCATGTATCTTCCTCCCTCTCTTAAAAAAGATTCGACCTCGAATCTGAAACATCAAAGGGAAAAACATTAGAACCTTTTAATGATTCACTCACGTTATACTTATCGAGTAGATATGCTTTGTATCTTCGAGACTTTGTTCTACTAATAGGTTCGAGTAGAAACATCAGTCCAAAGAAGCATGTGTTGTCATTGTTATGGACTATGGTGCATGTATCATTCCCCTACTCCTCAAAAGGATTCATTCATTAATCTGAAAATCCAAGAGAAAGAGAATTAGATGCATTGAAAGGAAAGCTTGTAAAACACTTAACCATTGGACTCTTTTAAATCGTAATTCATCACTGATATGAGATAGTGATTAAGGCTTTCTGGTGATAACACGTCAAGAGGGTCACCTAACACCATTCGAAAACTCTGTAAAAGAGGAACAAATGTTCTAGGCAAGTTAGTGTTATTGTTAGAAATCAAAACCAGTGGTTGTCTAAAGTGGACAAGAATGCAAGGCTCTTTGTGAAGAAAGTTCTCTCTCAATTATTTTTTGCTCACATATGTATTTTCAATCACTCTTTTCTTCTCACAATTAGGTTTACTCACCTCCCGTGTTTCATGTTCTTGGCTTTTATGGATTACGACCTCTTTTGTTTTTGCTTCTTTTTCATGGTTTGTTTCTTTTTGTGTTTTCCCACCCTCCTCACAAAATTTCATCACATGACTTTCAAGTTCATCTTTTGTTTCCAATGGTGTAAGTCTAAGTGACTGAAGATCGATATCTTCTATTACAATGCTGCTAACATCGTATTCATCAATGTCAGTGTCCGATTTATTATCTGTGTATTTTCAAGGCTTTCATAACCATGTAAGTCAAGAAGATCAACGATGTTTGGGTGCAAGTCGATGACAAATTTGTTCACTGTATATCCTTATGTTTTATGTATGTTTGCATAATTCATTAAGGATACCATCTCCTTGTAGCAGTCTTCTACTGATCTTCTGTCTTGTCAAAGTCGGTGAGGTCGTTGCTTAACTTCACGAACATAGTATGTCGGGATAAAATGCTTTCTCATTACTCGTTTAAGATTTGTCGAAGACATGATGTTTGGTATTCAAAATTCTTGTATCGCCTTTTGTGTTTGCTTCCACCAAGTGAGAGCATAACCTTGGAATTCTGAGGCGATCAATGATACTTATTCTATCATGGGACAATCGTAGTGATAGAACATGAGGTCAACTTTGCTTTTCCAATCGATGTAATATCTTGATCATAATCCCCTTTGAATGGCAGAATTATTTAAATGCTTCAATCAAGCCATTAACGGTTAACGAAACATGTGACATGGCAGTTAAAAATATTGGTATAATTACACAATTGATCCATGTTATTTATATATTCTTTCAATTTGGTCATTGTTTTAATAAATTAAAGATTTACTTTACTCCAATCACTGCAATAAAATAAACCAATACGCATAACGGCATAAGGGGTTAATGAGAATTGAACCAAAATCCCTTAGGTGAAGTATAAAGCACCAAACCATTGGGCTAAAACATACATTTGGTTTGCTTTATACAACAAATAATATATATTTTGTATCTTTGTAAATTTGACTTTAAAAAGCAAATAATATAATTAATAAATAAAAATTAAGGCTATTTTTTACATTAATAAAAAATACGAATATATAAAACATATTAAAATTTTTCTTTAATTATATAATTTAATACTATATATATTTATTAGTATATTGCAAAAATAATATAATTAAATATTGTTTATTAATAATTAAGATGTATAAAATATTATATTCATATTTTTCGTTAATATAAAATATAATTTTTGTATTATATTATTAAATAAATAAACATAATATTAAATTATATAATTAAATAAAAATTTTAATATGTTTTATATATTCGTATTTTTTTGCTAATGTAAAAAAATTCTTAATTGTTAATTATATTATTTGTTGTATAAAACATACTAAATGGATGTCTTAGCCCAATGATTTGTTGCTTTCTACTTCCCTCAAGGGATCCTTGATTCAAATCCCATCGACCTTCTTATGTGTGTGTTGGTTTATTTTCTTGCAACCAGAGAGTGACACGCGTTATCCTCTAATTGGAGTAAAGTAAATATTTCAATTAAAAATAAAATAAAATAAATTTAATCGAATGATGACACATGTCATTATTTTAATTTATTAAAATGAGGATAAAATTAAAAGAATATATAAGTAACATGAACTAATTGTGTAATTATACCAAAATATTTTAACTATCACGTCACCTGTTTTGTTCGGCAGGTGGCTTGATTGAAGTATTTAAATAGTTGGATGGCATGTTTGATCAAATTAAAACATCGGTGGTCAAAATAATTTTTGACTATAGTTGAATGGTTACACGTGTAGTTTACCCTTAAAATATTTATAAATTATTTTAAAATAGTTCATGTAATATGTCACGCCCTTGGAACTTCGATGCCTCAGAACGTGCGGCCGGTTGTGGGCTCGTGGTCTGTGACAAATACAATTAGCTCGTGATATGTTTGATCAAATTAAAACATCGGTGGTCAAAATAATTTTTGACCATAGTTGAATGGTCACACGTGTAGTTTATCCTTAAAATATTTATAAATTATTTTAAAATAGTTCATGTAATATGTCACGCGCTTAGAATTTCGATGTCGAAACGTGCGGCTGGTTGTGGGCTCGTGGTATGTGACAAATACAATTAGCTCATACTAATGGATTACTGTTTGACAACTGCTGATCTACATTTATAAGTTTTTTCCCCTCCATATTATTCTATTTATTGATTTTATATGTTATTTTTATCTCAGATTTTATTTTATCATTAACTGCATAACACATGTTAGTTTACTCTTTTTTATAGATTTCATTTTAATTTTACTTCAAATTTTATTTTACTCACACTGTCAACCTACATTGATCGGCTTTTACTTTCCTTCATAGATTTTTTTCTCAATAATAATTTTATTATTGAAAACAATTAACAGTTAATACCTTAATTCGTGATTCGTTTTAGTTCAAATAAATTTTATATAATTAAGTAATCGTGATTCTTACGCGCCATCCTCCTATCGTGGAAGCTCCTTCACTGGATACGATTTATATTCTCCCATCGGAGGCTTTCAAGTTTATGCCGGTGACGATTTCTGCTTTTCCTTTTATTTTTCCTTAAAATTTTGAAGCTATACTATTTCCATTAATTTTTTACGGGTCTTTCTTTTACTTTTTTTTATCGATCATTGTCTCTTTAGACTGAAATGATAATATTCTTTCTCCAATTTATTCAAAATCCCCTCTGAATCTTAAGCATTACACGATTTCGATTGTTGATTTGACGTCGATCGAGTTAGAACACATGCCGGTGAATTAATGCGGCTTGATTTCATTGATGATTTTTTATATATTTATTTTGAAACTCTCAAGACATTTGCATGGTCCGTGTAGCGCTCCTACAAGTTTTTTGATGAATATGGAATTCCCCAGCTTGCCTTATTTTTAGTCTGATTTTCGACTTTACATTGCCGCTTGCTTTTCTTTTCTTTTTTTTTAAATCCTGTGAACTATGGTAGAGTAATTTACATAATGCGCCCGACACTCTTTCTTTAATCCTTAAATTACTATTTGATTTAATTTATGTTTCTTCTTGCAAGTTTATTTTAACTTTGTCCACAAAACGGTTGTATTGAACTCATAATTCTTTTAGAAACTTTGTTATTAACATTTTTAAGCACTTCAGATTAGTTTCTAGGGCAAGAACGAAAGAGTAAAAGCTAGTCATTGGGATAAATCTCAACTTTACATATGATTTTTGATTCTGTGTATAATGTTATACATAGACTTTTATTTTGTGTATTGTACTCATAAAATTTTGATCTTGATTCAATTGTACACATTTTAAAAAATAAAGACATAACTTCAATAAATATATAAATGAATTCTATCCATTTATATTCATGTTAGATAATGTGCATATGCAATGTGTAAACTGATACTACGTCAATATCGGTGTTAATGGTCTCTGGAAATTGAATAAAATTAAAAATATTCATGTATATAATTGCTCAAAATTGAAGTTCGTGCATCATACTGTACTTAGAACAAAAAGGTGGTGTAATTTTGAGATTTATTATCCAGTCCTTTGTAATTATTGTTTCTGTGAATCTAATACATATTGCTTCTCTTAATGTTCTCATATTTCGTTTGTGCTGTGTATCATAAAAATTCACTCTTTGCAGTGTAGGGAGCGCTGCATTTCCTGCATAATATAAAACAAGTATGGCAGAATTCATGGAGCTGGAAGGACAGGATGGGGTTCGGATGACGTGGAATGTGGTGCCAGGGACAAAACAAGAGGCTGGTAACTGTGTGGTGCCAGTCTCAGCCATCTACACCCCAATCAAGACATTTCCCAGCATGCCTGTCCTACCCTATGCTCCTCTTCGCTGCCGCAATTGCTCTTCCATTCTCAACCCCTTCTGTGTCATGGATTTTTCCGCCAAGATTTGGATCTGCCCTTTCTGCTTCCAGCGCAACCACTTTCCTTCCCACTATGCCTCTATCTCTGAAGAAAATCTCCCTGCTGAACTCTTTCCTCAGTACACCACTATTGAGTACAAATCCCCCGGGGAGGCCTACCTTCATTCTGTCCTCATGTTCGTGGTTGACATCTCCATTATTGAAGAGGAAATGACATTCCTTAAGCCTGCCTTGTCCCGAGCCATTGGCCTCTTGCCTGACAACTCTCTTGTTGGCTTGATCACCTTTGGTACGCTTGTCCATGTCCATGAGCTTGGCTTTTGTTCCGTTCCTAAAACCTATGTCTTCAATGGCTCCAAGGACGTCTCAAGAAACCAGCTTCTTGAGCAAATGGGCTTTTTCCTTAACAAGCCCGTCACTGGTGTCATTGCTGGTGCCAGGGACGGGTTTTCTTCGGATAGCATTGCACGATTCCTTCGACCTGCCTCTGATTGCGAGTTTGCCCTCAATTCGGTATGTTATTAGCAAAATTTTCCTGTTAACAATGTTTAATTAAATGACATGTTTGCTCTCCTAGATCTTGGAGGAGCTCCAAAAGGATCCTTGGCCCATTCTCGCTGGTGAACGGTCAAGAAGGTGCACAGGCACTGCCGTGAGTGTGGCTGCCAGTTTGCTGGGTGCAGGCTTTGCAGGTTCTGGAGCTCGAATCATGGCATTTGTTGGTGGCCCCTCAACTGAAGGCCCTGGTGCTGTAAGGATGGCTCTGCTGCATTATTGTCATTCATCATGATAACATGCATTTCAACTAATTCTATTATCTGTTTACGAAACTCCTTCTAGATTGTCTCAAAGAATTTATCTGAACCCATACGTTCCCACAAGGACCTGGATAAGGATTCCGCTCCGCATTATCATAAAGCCATTAAGTTCTATGAAGCACTTGCAAAGCAGCTTGTGCACCAAGGACATGTGCTTGATCTCTTTGCTTGTTCTGTTGACCAGGTTTGTATTTTCCATCTGTATAATATTTTCTTTTGTATTAAAAACACCAAAACATTCAGGTGGTGGCTTCTTACTTTTGCCCATCAAATTTCCTATGTGTTGGCTAAAATCACATTTTTGTGTTGTGCCACCTTTCACATCATAGGTTGGTGTTGCTGAACTTAAAGTTGCTGTTGAGAGAACTGGGGGATTTGTTCTTCTTGCTGAAAGTTTTGGCCATTCAGTATTTAAGGACTCTCTTAGGCGTGTTTTCCAGACAGGGGACAAGGGTCTCAGACTCTCTTCAAAGTAAGGTTTTTTGAACTTAGACTTGTGCCTTTTTCCCCCCTTTAAACAGTTGCAAAACATGCATCATGGGCCAGCTCTACACTATCTGTTCTTCTTGCCTTTATTAGTTCATGTGTAAGCATATATTTGGCTTGACCCCGAATAGTTCTCATTGTCCTATCTAGAAATGGCTTAGATCATCCAAGGGAGCTAAACTTCTCTAATTTATAATTTCATTATAACTGGATCCAGTGAACAATCTTGATGAAGTTTTCTTGGCTTGCAGTTGTATATTCGAGATAAACTGTTCAAAGGATGTTAAAGTTCAGGGTATTCTTGGGCCCTGTGCATCTCTTGAAAAGGTATAACTTAGACTTATATGGCTTCTGCTTTCTACCAGCTGTACTTAAGATGTTTAGTTGTTAATAACTACATGCAGAAAGGTCCTTTGAGCTCTGACATCATCATCGGACAGGGAAACACCAGTGCATGGAAAATGTGTGGCCTTGATCAGGCTACATCTTTGTGTTTAATGTTTGAAATTGTTAAGAAGGACATCCCTGATACTGTTGTTCAGTCCTCAAGCAATCAATTTTATTTCCAATTTCTATCATAGTATGAGTTCTTACCTTATATGCATTATATAGATGATTCTTTCTTGTGTTTGGTAGCATTCTAACAGATTTTACTCGATGTTATTTTTCTGCAGTTACCAGCATAGCACTGGCGAAATGAGACTTCGTGTTTCAACTCTTTCAAGAAGATGGGTTGCTGGACCTGGAAGCATAGAGGTAGATTTTGGTTCCTAATGTAATTATTTTGATGAATTTTGTTTCATATAAATGATTTTCTTTTTGTTTCATTTTCCTTCCAAATACGCAATAATAATGAGGAAAAGAAAATAACAGTTGTGTTTGTCCCTGAAGTATCCTTATGCAACCTTATCAGAAAAGGAAATCACAATTGAAATGGATGGCAATTTTTTCCTATGATTTTATTTGATATCCATTTATTGGAGACAAGGAATTAATTGAGACCTGAGCATTTTACAAATTCTCTTGGCTTGTGTTTTCCTAATGTTTATTTCCCAGATGTTTGAAGAAGGGTTTGACATGCGAAATCCGTTGTAAAGCTCTAGCAATTCTGCACCGAACTACCAGGAAAATATGAATATGTATGTTGGTTGAGAGAACACAGATCAATAAGATTTTGATATATTGCCTTATGCTGCAGCACCTAGGTGCACAAAGAGCCATGGTATCAACAAGATTTCATCACTCTAAAGTGATGATATGATGCATATCCTCGATAGTCTCTCCCTCAACCCAAAACAACAACTTAGCTTAGTTTAATCTAAATTAGAAAACTGATTATACTTGGCAATGAAGCATGAATATAGTGATTTCAGTCCTTGCTTCGTTAGTGACTTTATAATACCTCCTTTTCTTGTTCTTTTTCATTTTTATCCAGCACATTCCTTCCCTTTTATTTTCTTTTTTCTTTATTCATCAGATTACAACATAAATGCTGTTTCTCCATTTGGCTTATCTGAATTTTGTATCTTGACCTTAAAAACTTTAGTCACTTTTTATTGTGTAATAAATATAAATAACGGTGTCTAACACGTCATCAACTTAACAATTGCAAACTAAACATGAATGGACTAAAGTGAGCATTTGACCTTAATACCAGTACTAAAACTGAGTTAGCCAAATTTATATACGGAATATTACAGAAAATTATAGTTTGAGAGGATACTTTGTCACTTGGTGATTAGAAATTGATATTTTTCTTAGTGAATGTCAAAGCTTGCTAGTTCCCATTATCCCACTCTTCTAACAGACTTGAATGATTTTGCTTCTTTTCCTTGTCTATTATTTTTTCATTCTTCATCCTCACTGAGGATGGGGATTTATTGAGTAATTGGGACTATATAGCCGGTTTGATCAGCTTCTCAGCTTACTTTTAGTAATCAATATTTAGAAGTTTTCATCTAATCAAGCTTGTTTTAAATGTTATAGGATTTGATCGCTGGATTTGACCAAGATGCAGCTGCTGCTGTAATGGCACGCCTAGTGTCTTTCAAAATGGAAACTGAGGTAATCAATCATTGTGTTAACATGATGTTTTGCAAGTATTTTAGTCCGATTGGTTCGTGGAAGAAATAGTATTGTTAGAAGCTAATATGTTATGCACACATCTCACATACATTTTGAATCATGTACGTATTCCTCCACTCTGGTGCATGAGCTTTTTCCGCCTTGGTCATTGACCGATGTATGGGTTCCAGCACCAAAACTGCATCTTGTACTGACCTTAACCACAATACCTTAGTCTGCTGGACTGCCATTAATAAGTAGGATTTTTGAGGGAATATCTTTGATGAATGTGGCTTCTACATGTTCCCTTCATTAAAGTTAACAATTACTGGGAAAATGAAAGAAATCGTTAAAAGAACTTTGCCTCGTTATATTGAATGTATTTCCTAAAATCCCAAAATTTAAGAAGAGAGAAATTGGGATGCTAAAGCAATCCAAGTCATTTAAGAAAATGAAAGAGTTAGAACATGTTTTGGCTACTCAACTTCAAGGTCCTTCCTCCCTCTTACTCCAGAAAGTGTAAACAAGAGACTGGGGCATGGTTCTGGAGGATTTGTTCAGGAGAAAGGTATAGACATTTCTGCATCACAGCACTGTTCTATTCATTCTGCAATATGCTGTAAAAAGCTAACAGATAGAACATAGTTCTCTTGCAAATATGCAAGAAGCTGAGAACAGCTAATCCTGCTGAGATTTTTATCAAAATCTTATCCTCTATGCTGAAAGATGCTTGACTTTTATATGGTCTGGTGTTTGAATATCTTCAACGTTTCTAACATTCTCGATTGTTTCTGTAAAATTAAGGTTGTGTATTACTGTCATTTCTCTTTTCTATCCTCACACTTCTTCATCTCATATTCTTACAACAGTATTTTCACCCTTCCTGACCCAAGCAAAAACCTTTCACTATAAGTTTAAATGTGTTATCACTCAGAACCCATTGAGTGACCTCATTGGTAAAGGGAGTGTTGTTCTCCCTAGAGGTCTCGGGTTCCAGCTGTGTCAGCAGGGTGTGTGTGCGTTGTCAGTGGCTAAGAAAGATTCTGAACAAATACTACCTTGTAATCAACCCAGACTATTCAAAAATACATGGGATGTAATTCCTTGTTCTCGAGTGATTATTTGTAAGGGTTAGGGTTTTCTCCCTTTAGGCTGTAATTCCTACTTTATTCAATAAAGTTATAAGGCACTCTTTTCCATCTTCAGATGATTAAGGAGTTTACACATTAACTCCATTAATCAAGAAGGTGGTTTTTAATGAGGCCTTCAAATCTTATCAAAAACAAAATACATGGGATGTCACTCATGGATGCTTTGAAGATTTTTTTGAGATGTTAAACAATAAAAATGCAAAAACTTGAGTTAATCACATGCAATTTTTCGCATCCTTCCGTTACTCCCGAAATTTGTGCTTCTAGTCCTCTGAAAATTTTGAACTGTATTGTTGTGGTGTGTACTATTATGTAACGTGAAATTGGCATGCAGGCTGAGTTCGACCCTATAAGATGGTTGGATAAAGCGTTGATTCATATATGTTCTCGGTTTGGGGATTACCAAAAGGATGCCCCATCTTCTTTCAGCCTGTCCCCAAGGTTTTCATTATTTCCTCAGTTTGTGTTTCATTTGCGGAGATCACAATTTGTCCAGGTATCCATCTTGCTTCTTAGATTACATTTTCCTTTCAATCAGAACAATTGAAAATTTAGAACTGATATATGTTATGCATTACATTGGATAACTTTCTTCAGCTAGGCTTGTTCATATTATACAGGTCTTCAATAACAGCCCTGATGAGACAGCATACTTTAGAATGATCCTGAACAGGGAAAATGTTACCAATTCAGTTGTGATGATTCAACCTTCATTGATTTCTTACTCATTTCAGTCTGATCCAGAACCAGCACTGCTTGATGTGAGTGCCGTTGCAGCCGACAGGATCCTGCTTTTGGACTCTTATTTCACCGTTGTTATTTTTCATGGCTCAACTATTGCTCAGTGGCGAAAAGCTGGATATCACAGTCAACCTGAGCATAAGGTAATTTTTTTTTTAATTTGGAATTACAAGCCAACCAAGAATAGAACACTTAGGATTAATTTAACCAAAGATGGAAAAGTAAAAGGTTTATATATGCTGGAGGCACGATGTTGGGCAAACCTCAGTTTGTCCAGTTGGGTAATTTGTAACTTCAAAAAGTCATTAAGATTTAAGTACAAATTTCTAACCCTTGACTTGTTGATATCCTCGTAAAACATAGTGAAAATGTAGTTACCAGCCTGACATTCATACAGTAACTGGTCACCATTTTGCTATGATATAATTTATCCTGTTATCAGTACCCATAAGTTCAGGGAAGACTATGTTTGTTGTCATTGTTTATCTGAGTAGATTATGATGTCATCATCGTAATTGAGAACTTTGCAGCTTTTTTCTAGCATTGCTTCACATGTAAACAAGAAGAATAATGCTTCTGGTCTTCAAATCTTTTAACCCATCGGCCCTGAATTTTTACCTGTGTTTCCCCCCCTGCATATGAGACATTAGCCGGTGTTTTGCTTATGGTTCACCGGACTGTGAATCTGTGATAATTTTATTGGGCATTTTTCCTCCAAGTTTTGACTTATTTGTATTTGTATAAAGATGTAGGAACTAACCATATGTAGCAAGTTTATTTGTTATGTCAAAGTGCTAAAAATTAGATGGTAAGAATTAAGAAAATAAGAACATGCCAATATAACAGAACCGGCATTTCAGCATCAATGATGTGGAACACTGAAGGGTAATAGATCCGAGGGAAAACTAGAGGGAAGGGAAAGCAAAAGAAGCTAGGTAGACATTTAAGAACATGGAGAGGGAAATAAGAACAAATAGACTGGAATCCAATTTTCATTCACTTAACTATTAAATCTCAATATTCTTAAAACCAAAATCACTAAAAATGAAAAAGTAGCTCTTGGAGGGAGCCTAATAATGGATGATATTAATATAATCATAATGCAGTAATACTCAAAATTTAAGTGAAAGCTAATTTACATGAATTACCTTAATCAATCTAAAAAGACCCTAATTCTATCTATTAAATTTCATTATTTCAATTTCCCCCTTTAATCCCTTAAAATGTAACAAGGATAACAAAATACTTATTAAACCTTACAAGACATGACGTAAAGTCTTAAGTGTTATCTTGTTGTTTGAGAAAAAAATGTATGGGCTTAACGAATATTGTTTTTGTTTTAGTTTATTAATCAGAATATTTCAAAAATAAAAAAGGAGCCTTTGGAATTGGCAAATAGTGCTACCATAAGTATGACAATACATTGTTCTTATCATCATTTTGTTCCATGTAGACTTTTGCCGAGTTGCTCCAAGCTCCTTGTGATGACGCAGATGCAATAGTCAAGGAAAGGTTTCCAGTTCCTAGACTAGTTGTTTGTGATCAGTATGGCTCACAGGTTAGTTGCTAATGTTGTTAGATTTTGCAGGTTATACGACATAGATAAGCCTTATCTTGTATATATGTTAGTAGTTTAATTTAATACTAACTCTTAGCATGCTATGTAGATAAGGATAACTACAGGGGTAGTTTAGTTCTAACAAAACACTTATTCTTAGATAATGTATAAAGGACTGTACTTACCAGAATGAAATACAATTGAGAATTTCTTCTCTTTACTAAATCTCCATTATCAACAGATTGTAAGCTGTGTTGTTTTAAGTGCAGATGAAGTCGAGGTTATTATTGAGATTGGTTTGATTTTATTTTCCTCCTTTCCTTCTTAAACAATAACAAAACTATTGTTCATCCATGCTTTCATCCACCTCTGAGCCGTAATCTTTTGCTTGTTTCAAAATTTAGGCTCAATTCTGGTCCATTGCAAATAGTATTTTGAGAACTTGCAAGTATTTTTTGACTGTTTAGTATATATGCTAAAGAAACCGAAGATGAGGGGTGGATGGGTTATTCGATTTGCAAATAAACTTGCAAAATTGAAGCTTTGCTAACCTTAATAATCAATCACATATGATATTCAATTTCTACATTCATGCTGAATCACAGTGCAAAAAAACTAAAGATGGAGGAACAAAGAGAGTGAACAGCATTCTGCCTAGTCTTAGCTTCTACTATTCTTGCGTAGTTGTTAAGTCTGTTTTCTTGTCAGGCCCGCTTTCTTCTTGCGAAGTTGAATCCTTCGGCGACATATAACTCAGATGGTCCTTGCCCGGGTGGAGACATAATCTTTACAGACGATGTAAGCCTTGAGATTTTCTTGGATCATCTCCAGAGATTAGCAGTTCAATAAAATGTGATAGCAGAGCTATAGGCAATTTTGTAATATCTATCATTTAATTTTTGTACAGTAATTCCAACGATTTGTGTTTTTTATTTTAATTCGCTTCAATCAGGAGGGATTAGGTATATTAGATGCTTTATGGTTTTTTTCTAATTTGATAAGACAATTTTATATATATATATTTGGAACAGTAGCGATTTCATGCATTTTGGATCATCTCCCCTTGTCTATTGAAAGAGACATTCAAATATTTGGAGTTTCTCTTTGGACTCGGGGATCGCTCCAAACTTATAAACTCACCAGGCATCATCTTGGGGTTGTTCGGGTTTAGGGCTTCCAAATAGACACCGTGTTTGAAGTCGGGTGATGGAACCAAACTGTGATGGGATTTCTCCACTGATTTTATTGTTTCCCAAGTTTATGCAAATTAGTCAATTCGTTTGGTGATGAGGCACTGGAAACTATTGTTAACAACGGTTGTGCCTATGGGAAGGAAAATAAATCAAATTCATCGTTGTTGCTTTTATGTTCTCAACGGAATGATTAATACAGAGATGATCCTTCACAGCTGAGATGCAAAAGAATACAACAATAACAAAATAAGAGAAATGCAGAGGAAATTTTTGCACCAACAAAGTTTAGGTAGCCCAGAATCTGAGAGCGGAAACAATGATAACCTCGATCTTTATAACCATCCTAGCTTCAGAGAAGCTTCATCTAACTTGGTTTACTGTCCCTAAATGCTGAAAGGGAGAAGAAAAGCCTTGTCCCTGGAAAAAAATGGCACGGGAAGTATTGGAATTCGGAGCCACAAAACATACCACCACAGTGGGAAGATACATGTTATTCCAAGAAAAAGAAGAAAAAAAAAGGAAGGAACAAAGGAAACTGCAATCGAGAAAAGATGGAAATGACCTTTAGTAGTCGAGGAGAAGCTGCCATTCTGCAATTTTTGGGCATCAAACGTTCTGATACACTCACAGTGCTTTCATAATGAGACTGAAGATTCGGGCAATGTTAATCTTATATAAATATTTTGGTAATTTCCAGAAAGTTGAGCAAAGAAGAGACAGAAACACTCAAGCAATTTCATTCTACGTTTTTTACCTACAACCATCTATATGAGAAAAACTGAGAACAGTTGGACGGAAAATATGCATGGATGATTATGAATAGAAAATATAAATATTTGAGAAAATAACCTCAGTGACCAAAAATGCCTTATAATATACGATTTTAACCAACTTTTTTTGGATTTGCCAAAATGATCAACTAAATCGCAATGCGATCGATAATTCGCAACGCGATCTCCGGTATCGCAAATCAGTTTCCAGATTCGCAACACGATTCTAACTATCGCGTTGCGATTTCCCAAATTCGCGTTGCGATTTTCCTAATTCGCATTGCGATTTACGTAATCGCGTTGCGATTTTCCTAATTCGCATTGCGATTTACGTAATCACGTTGCGATTTTCATAATTTGCAATGCGAATACGTAAATCGCAACGCGATTACATAAATCGCAATGCGAATTAGGAAAATCGCAATGCGAATATATAAATCGCAATGCGAATCTGACTATCGCAATGCGATTTACATAGCGCCATTCGTATTAACGCGTATTTTTTTTTTCAAATTCCAAACATGAATTTCTTAATATATCGGAAACTGAACCGTCCACAGTAATCGCAACTCATAACCTCAAACCTAAAATCACAACACTCAGTCCCATCTCCATCTCATAACCTCAAACCTAAAATCGTAACTCATAACCTCATAACCTCAAACCTAAAATCCCCATCTCTAAAGATTTCTGTCCCCATCGCCGGCAAAATCCCTCACAACCATTCACGGTCAGAAATCCCTCACAAGCATTCAGAAATGGAAAATCAACCTCCGATGGTTAGTTTTTTTAATTATTTTTATTTTGAAATTTTTGCATTATTTTAGGTTTTTCATATATTGATGATAAGTTTACTGGTAATTTCAATAATAGATTAACCATTTCACTTAGATTTCTTATTAAATTCATTCGATTGCTGCCAATACTGCTAAACTGTTTAGTCTTTAACCCTGTGAATTTAGTATTTGTCTTTGTTTTGTCTTTTGGTTGAAGTAATGCAAAAGAAGAATAGTTTCGAGAATGAAAATCGCAACACGGAAATGAAAATCGCAACGAGAGAATCGCAACGCGAAATGAAAATCGCAACGTGAAACCAAAATCGCATTGCGATTCTCTCGTTGCGATTTTCATTTCGCGTTGCGATTCTCTCGTTGCGATAGTCATTTCCGCGTTGCGATTTTCATTCTCTCGTTGCGATTTTCATTTCAACCAAAAGACAAAACAGTGTTGCAAATTTTAGTTTCAAAAATAAACTACTATTTATGTTTATTGTTTTTGGTATATCTTCACAGTGTAGTTTTTGGTATATCTAACTTGGTATGTTTATTGTTTTTGTATAAAAAATTTTCGGCTTCATTGACATTAAAGAATAAAGTTAGCCTAGCCACTACAATTGCTTCGAAGCTTTCACCTGCACAAAGAAAATTGTTTGATGAAACCTGCTTCGGGCCATGGCTGAGAGTATAGCATCCGGGTGGAGATGCTAATTTGACCCATTTGTGGCTTCAGACCATGACTAGCGATCTACCCGACAGTATACAACGTGGTGAGGAAGAGATATGGTCTCATTTTCCACCGGCGTATACTTGTTTTGGGCGGAAGGAGTTCTGCTTAATCACTGGTCTACGATTCGGACACGATGATGTAGGCCGGTACACTCGTCATATCACCCGCCCATCATGGTTATTCAGGGTTTTTCCTGATGAGTCAATAGAGAAGCCGAACTTACACGTCGATGACCTGAAGAAATTGTTTAATAAGAAAGATGGTTTTACTCAGATGAATGACGATGATGTTGTCCGAGTATGCCTTCTACTACTTTTGTATGCCGGCTTTTTAGGCAGAGAGGCCAGACAACCTATTCCTCAGGAGCTAATATTATTGGTAGAGGACCTAAATGCATGGAATCTATTTCCGTGGGGTTCGTATATATGGAAAGCTACCTGGACTAAGTTGTCGTCTGCCTTTGATGACCGCAAAAGTTTGTGTGGCGATAGGTTGAAATACACTTTGTCAGGCTTTGTTTGGGCCTTTAAGGTAAGAATTTCTATATAATGTTTTCAAAATTATAATTAATTATTTAACAATTACTAATGTTTGTTATTATATTGTTTGTAGATTTGGATATTCGAGGCTTTCCCCAGCATGCGGACATATGCATTAAGAACTTCAAATGATATTCCTAGGGCTATTTCCTGGAAGAGGAAACGTCTGTTGGATTGGGAAGACTTAATACCATATGCGACAATAAATAATGTAAGTTAACACAAATACTATAATATATAAACAAGTTATTAATAGTAGACGTTTAACTTTGTTTGAGTTTTTATATTTTTAGGAGGCCAACACTCCATTAATGAGACTGACACCCACGGAGGCTGAGCTTGCCACTGATTGGTGGCAAGCTAGTCAGCGTTTTCTTGATGGCACGAATGATGAGCAGCCTCCACTTCCTCCACTTCGAGAGCCATCACCTGATCGACCCGACTATACACCTCTACAACGAGAGCCATCACCTATCCCGTCACATCATCGAGCCTCTTCTCCACCATCACCTCATGATAGGCGACCGGCAAAGATACCACGACTTCTATCTCCCTGTTCTCCACCTCCACGGGATGAGTCAAGGGAGTTACGTGATGAGGTCAATGTCTTGCGTGAGGAGATCGGTACTCTACGCGATAACGATGGTGCATGGCGTGTAGAGGTGTCTACTTTACGTGGTGAGGTTGCCGCTCTACGTGAGATGGTAGTATCGTTGCAGAATGAGGTTCATACTCTATGCAACGAGGTAAGTTTAAGATTTTCCATATTTAACTTGATGATAAATTTACTCGTAATTTCACTTAGATTAACCATTTCACTTAGATTGCTTAGTAAATTTATTTGGTTGCTGTCAATACTGCTAAACTGTTTATTAACACTGTGAAGTTAGTATTTGTCTTTTGGTTGAAGTAAATTTATTCGGTTGCTGCCAATTCTGCTAAACTGTGTATTCTTTAACACTGTGAAGTTAGTATTTGTCTTTGTTTTGTCTTTTGGTTGAAAGTAAATTTGTTCGGTTGCTGCCAATTCTGCTAAACTGTGTATTCTTTAACACTGTGAAGTTAGTATTTGTCTTTGTTTTGTCTTTTGGTTGAAAGAAAATTTGTTCGTTTGCTGCCAATTTTGCTAAACTGTGTATTCTTTAATACTCTGAAGTTAGTATTTGTCTTTATTTTGCCTTTTGGTTGAAGTAATGAAATCCATTCAAGTTTCAATTTGCATAAGAAGAAGAAATAGTTTATTCTTGAAACTATATTTTAGTAACACTGTTTTGTCTTTTGGTTGAAATGAAAATCGCAACGCGAAACGAAAATTACAACGAGAGAATCGCAACGCGAAATGAAAATCGCAACGACAAAATCGCAACGCGAAACCAAAAATCACAACGCAAAACTATAATCGCGTTGCGATTTTTATTTCGCGTTGCGATTTTTCGTTTCGCGTTGCAATTTTCATTCTCTCGTTGCGATTTTCATTTCACGTTGCGATAGTCATTTTTCACGTTGCGATTTTAAGTTCCAGAAACTATTCTTCTTCTGCAAATTGAAACTTGAATGAATTGTATTACTTCAACCAATAGACAAAGACAAATACTAAGTTGACAGTGTTGCACGTTTGAAACATATTTGCCTTTGTTATCTGATTCATTTTGTGAACTATGATAGAATAATGACTTGGGTGAATTCAATGCAAGTTTGAAACATATTTGTCTTTGTTTTCACTGTTTAAATATCATGTCTGTTTATTTACTGATTTTTGTATTTAATTATTTAGCGGCCCGATAAGGTGGATGCTTTACGTCGGGTTTTTCTTGCACGACAGAGTTCACGCATCAGACGGCGTGCACGTGCTATTAAGTCTCCGTACACCCCAATAGTGCGAAGACACCGCAAGAAGAAGCCCGACTCGCCTGTCATCCCTCAAAA